AGACGACGCCTTCTCTCAATCAATCTCTCTGTATTTTTCTTATCAGAGGTGTGAGAAAACTCTAGCCACGAGCCTTCCTCTATATATACCTATAGAGCAATGATTAACCCTAAGAAACTTTCCTTCCTTGTAGTTATCCTTTCCTTCTTTTGCTCTAAAATATATTCTTCAAATCTCTTTCTCTTTTTCCTCCAAGTAAATATATTTTTTATTTTTCTAACTGAATCCACGCTTGTGAATATCAATACACGAGCTCTTCTCCACAAATCACACAACTCAGCTTCTGTATCACTTCTTGTAGTAGTCTCTGTAGTACAGTCAACTGGTACAGGAAAAACTCCAAGTAACTCCTCTYAAAAGGTACAACTCACGAGGGTAAGGTTATCTTGGCACCATTCTATATGTGTTCTCGGTTCTACATACTCTGTTACGATATGCAAAGGAATGATTTGAGAAAGGTTGCAATCAAAGGAGTACCACACCGTTTGTAGTAGTCTCTGTAGTACAGTCAACTGGTACAGGAAAAACTCCAAGTAACTCCTCTCAAAAGGTACAACTCACGAGGGCAAGGTTTTCTTGGTGTCATTCTTTATGTTTTCTCGGTTCTACATACTCTGTTAGGATATGCAAAGGAATGATTTGAGAAAGGTTGCAATCAAAGGAGTACCACACCGTTTGTTCGATAATAAATGCTATTTTGACTTGAAGTTCATGGATGAGAGTGAGAGCTTCGTCTACTTGGAGACTTGACCACTACTTATTACTTTGTTTGTCTAGCCGATTAAGAAATAAGAATATACAATTGATTGGGTTTATCATTTTGTTTAAAACAAATACAAGTTTATCAGAAAGAGTTATTTGATCTCTTTTTTGTGATTTTTATTTCGTTCACATTAAAGTCCTACTCAAATGTTTTGCTTGTAGGTTCTACAATCTTCTAGCTCCAAATCGCTTTCTGTCGGATTCTGAACCATATTGGATTGCTATCTCCTAGTCCTACACATCAATACAAAGCTAAAACGGAAACCGCTTTTAATGTTAAATTAAATCTTTGAACAAAGTTAGCACCCAAAAAACAGACAACACAAAAAACTAATGTGATATTTTGTAGAACTTAAATATTTAATTTTCGAATGATACTTTACATTCTCAGCCAAAAAAAAAAAAAAGAAACTATGATCTACGGTAGATTGTTCGAACATTTTGATAGAAACTGAATATTTTGATAACTAATAAATTGTCTCCATTTATAATAACAGCTTCTATATAGATTCTCCATATCTAAGATATAGCTTGTTCACAATGTTAAAAGCAAATATCCGAAAACTCGAAGACGCTATTTTCCGTTTTATCTTTAACGTTAATCTCACAAGGTAAATCAAGAGAGTAATATAATTAACAGATTTGAACTTTAACAAATCAAGAGACACAGCGGTCGAAGAAAACAAATAAACAATCCATATACAATTTCGTGCACGGCAAGTAAATAAACAAACTCAACGGATGACCTAACCGAAAACCTAAAAATCACTCTTAACTTTGTCGTCATTCTTCTCCACCTTTAATGGATCTCGAGTTTTTGGAACCATTGACGCAGCTTCTTGCATGTTGTCTTCTAGTAGGACCGATTGGAGTTGGCAATGGACCACATATCGTTCGTGTAAATATTAAAGGAAACTTCAAGCCTTGTTGTCTTTTAGGAGAACGAGTTGGGATTGGTCGTGCTCGTGGAATGGAGTTTCTTTGTGTGATAAAAGGATGGTTCAAAAGCTCTGTCGCGGAAGCCCTACTTAATGGATGCATAGTATGGCACAACCTCAAGAAGTCTTTGGTCACCGGAGAGATATCTTGGTCCAGCCTCCACTCGTATGAATCTCCAATCTTTATTGGCTTACCTCCAAACATCTCATAAATTATACACCCTAGAGACCATATATCAAGGGCCGGTCCGATCACTCCGTCTGGTCCAACAGATTCTGGAGGCATGTAGTATATCGTACCAGCAAACAACGACCTAGAATCCGTATTAGGCTCCTTGGCTAATCCGAAATCAGCAAGCTTCACATTCCACGGGTCTCCCAAAGTGGTGGAAGGGAAAAGGAGAACGTTGGATGGCTTGAGGTCGCAGTGAACATAGCCGTGTGAGTGAAGCGCTTCGAGTCCTTGTAGGATCATACGAGTGGAGCGTCCAATCACATGCTCAGGCAATGGCTTTCCTTGGAAAGCAGAGATTATCTCGCGTAGAGTACCTTCGAAGGCGTACTCCATATATATGTAGCAATCTTTGAGGAGCATACCTAAGTAAAGTTGATCGCTTGAGGCTTGAATGATGCGAGGATGATTACGGAAGTGAAGCATGATCCTGAGCTCCTTCTTGAGATTCTCCATGAGTTCTATTGGAGATGTCTTCTTTGCGTAAAAACCGTGGCGAGGATGACCTTTGAGAGAGACAGAGCCGTAAGCCCCTTGGCCAAGAACACTGACATGCTTTAATGAAATTTCGTCCACACACAAAGGTTCTTCGTACCTAATATCCATACTGATTTCTAGCTTCTCTCTTAACAATGCTTGACTCTTTAGGGCTTCGTTTCTCTTGATTATGAAGGGTTATATCTAGAGAAATCTCCTACGTACTCTCTATTTATTATTCAACCACTTTCTCTCACTCCATTTTCACTTAGGAAACAATTTTGTTGGATTCCATATGGTTTAGTTTAGATAAAGTATCTGTAATAGATAGATATACGATTTGAATATGAAACTTAGTCGCATGTTTTAACTTGGAGTAGGAAATCAAAACCAACATGAATGTGTGAAATCTTATTATATAATGGAGAATGCGCGCGATGAGAGTTTAACACGTAGGCAAAATTCTTAAGCACTAGATCACGACATGTGGCTATCATTCATCAGATGATGACATGTGTCAATATATTTTAATATCCT